AAACTAATTGGGTAAAACCTCCCACAGAAAACAGTGAAAAAAGCGAAAGGAAATGATTAAGCATCAAGTGGAAGAAGACATAATGCCTTGTTGTTAGCAAAAGAATGAACCTAAAATGCAAATCACTAATAGGAGAAACCAAAATCAAAGAAGTACATCAGTGTAAATTTCTGGGAAATGTTTTAACAGAGCTCGGAAAGTGTGACACTGAAATCCGAAGGCGCGTTGGAATAGCGAAAGATGCCCTCCAAAAGCTAAGCAAAGTATTAAGAAACAGTAAAATATCTGGGAAGTGTTTTAACAGATGACAGAAAGTGAGAGACGGAAATAAAAAGCACATTGAATTAGCGAAAGATGCCTTCAAAACAAAGTATTAAAAACAGTAAAATATCTGGGAAGTGTTTTAACAGAGGACGGAAAGTGCGAGACGGAAATCTGAAGGCGCATTGGAATAGCGAAAGATGCCTTCCAAAATTTAAGCAAAGTATTAAGAAACAGTAAAATATCTGGGAAGTGTTTTAACAGAAAAGTGACACTGAAATCCAAAGGCGCATTGAATAAAAGTTGCTTTCCAAATGCTAAGGTATTAAGAAACAGTAAACTATCTGGGAAGTGTTTAACAGAGACGGAAAGTGTAGGAAAGAAATCAAAGGCATTGAATAAAGGCGCTAAGCAAAGTATTGAGAAACAGTAAACTATCTGAAGTGCCTTCCAAAAGCTAAGCAAAAAGTATTAAGAAACAGTAAAATATCTGGGAAGTGTTTTAACAGAGGACGGAAAGTGGGAAGTGACAGAGGACGGAAAGTGTGAAATCCAAAGGCGCATTGAATAGCGAAAGATGCTTTCCAAATGCTAAGCAAAGTATTAAGAAACAGTAAACTATCTGGGAAGTGTTTTAAACACGGAAAGTGTAAAAGAATAGCGAAAGCTGCTTTCCAAATGCTAAGCAAAAGTATTAAGGAAACAGTAAACTATCTGGGAATTGTTTTAACAGAAGACGGAAAGTCACTAAAATCCAAAGGCGCATTGAAGTGTTTTAAATGCAGCAAAAGGAAACAGTAAACTATCTGGGAAGTGTTTTAACAGAGGACGGAAAGTGTAGGAAAGAAATCCGAAGGCGCATTGTAAAATATCTGAAGTAACAGAGGACGAAAGATCCAAAGGCGCATTGAATAGCGAAAGTTGCCCAAATGCTAAGCAAAGTATTAAGAAACAGTAAACATCTGGGAAGTGTTTTATTAAAAGAAACATTGAATAAAAAGTAAATCTAAGCAAAGTATTAAGAAACAGTAAACTATCTGGGAAGTGTTTTAACAGAGGACGGAAAGTGTAGGAAAAAAAATTCAAAGGCGCATTGAATAGCTTGCTTTCAAATTAAGCAAAGTATTAAGAAACAGTAAACTATCTGGGAAGTGTTTTAACCGGAAAGTGTAGAAAGAAATCCAAAGGCGCATTGAATAGCGAAAGTTGCTTTCCAAATGCTAAGCAAAGTATTAAGAAACAGTAAACTATGGGAAGTGTTTTAACAGAGGACGGAAAGTGTAGGAAAGAATCCAAAGGCGCATTGAATAGCGAAAAGTTGCTTTCCAAAATGCTAAGCAAAGTATTAAGAAACAGTAAACTATCTGGGAAGTGTTTTAACAGAAGACGGAAAGTGTGACACTAAAATCCGAAGGCGCGTTGTGATACCGAAAGATTCCTCCCAAAAGCTAAGCAAAGAATTAAGCAATATAAAAGTCCGTTAGAAACAAAGAAAAGGACACTGAACTGTTATGCAATATCGGCCCTCTTATATGCCAGGGAATGATTCACAATCTTCTCATTGATAAAGAAGAGAACTGAACCAATAGAAAGGTTGTTCTACCGAAGGATATTGAAAATATTATGGACTGAAAATGTGAGCAACGGCGAAGTTTTAGAGAAAATGGAAGTAAAATGTGCGCTTACTTAATATTAGAAAGAGACATTTGAAATTTCTAGGCACCTAATGAGGAAAGAGGGCATGGAACATTTGATACTCACAGGGCAGATCGGAGGTAAGTGGGACAGTGGAAAAAAATGGATAACCCACCTAGCGATCATTAGTAACTGGATGGCGGTGTAAGGTTTAGAAGCGATAACTAAAAGAAAAAAATATCAAGAGTTATAAATGACAGGAAAATGTGGAGAGCCATGATCGCCTACGTTTTGAAGGGACACGACATATAGAATAAGACTCAGACTACTTGGAAGTGGTTCAAGTTCACCAATTACTCAGACGTTTTTCAATTTAAAATATTACTTGAAATATTTTAGTGTCGTTCAATTTAATCAACAACGTAAATTAATTCTAAACATTAACTAGTGTAAATAAAATACTCGAAACTTCGCATGCAGTTTTTTTTTAATCTTGGACATTTCTCTGTTTTCTTTTTAATTTTATTTCCTAACCCATCATTAACCTTATTCTGTTCTCTTTCAGGATAAATTCAGGAGTTTACAGACGAAAAATAAAATTTACTCGATCCAATTCCAGTGGTAGTTCTCAGAAAATACGCCATTCCCATCGTCATTGTTACACATTTCTTAGGTAAAAACCCATTTGAAATAACATGAATGGCTTTTCCGGACTTAAAGAAAAAAAACATCACTTGCTGAAAAGACATTGTCTTTTGGTTGGATCAAAATTGTTTTCAATGATCATTCCCTGCATTCTTTATGTTTGGGTCGCGTTATCTCTAACTTCGGAACACATTGTTGAAGAATCATAAAACATGGCGGAAGATCACATTCTCGAAGGAAGGATAAAAGCGAGAAAGCGTGAAGCGAAGGAGGAAGATTAAACATGAACGTGGTTAAGACGTAAAGATTAAAGTGAACCATTTCGCAGCATATCTTCGTGCATACATGTTTCATTGAATAATACAGACATATTATGTCTATTTATATTCAACCTTTCCAGTTTCTTGATGTTAATAAGAAATAACGAGTTATAGTACATATAATAACATCTAACGCCATTTTGAATACTACCAATTTCCAGTCAGCTATGTTAGGACATCGAATGCCACCCTAATTACCTTCTGTCCTAGATGTAAGACCGCCAAGGTTAGAGTGATAGACTCATGAATGTTCCGAGAAAAACAAAACTAGCGGTAGGCATGTTGGTCGCCCAGCAACCACATACATTAATCAGCTATGTTTATTATAAACAGAGCATTTACTTAAATATTTGTATCTATAAAAAGAACGTATAAACATAAACAAAATGTCATAAAATAATTGTCGGACTTTGTCCATTTCATTATATATATATATATATATATATATATATATATATATATATATATATATATATGATTAATACGAATATATATTTTGACATATATAAAATAGTAATAAAGAACAGTGATATTTATAATTCAGAGTCCTTAGCTTTTATTTTATTTTTTAAAAAAATAATGATCAATACGATCCGTAGAGCTTAATATTATAACTATTTTTTTGTTAAAATATGTTTCCATTGTGACATTTTACTGTGAAATTGAAATTAATAAAAGCAACAAGAACATGTAGATCTTTAAATGACCCATGTACTTTGTGTGTACATGAATATTATTAAATTTCTCAAAGATTAAAATTTATTAAATCAAAGAAATGAAATAGCCGTATTTTGCAGACATTGTCAAATATTTTCTTTAAACAATAATTAATTTATAGTTAAGAAATTAATATATTAATAGTTGATCATAAATAAAATGATTTTATAAATATAAAATTAAATTATATTATATTAATTTTACAATTCGATATATACTTTATTAGTTAATATAAAATGAATATATATATTTATATTTGTTGGAATAAAGTTATAAAATCTTAATATTAAAAATATAACTTTATCCTAATTAATTGGCCACTTGAGAAAATCTTGATATTTAAAAAATAAGAAATGAAAAAAAAACCCCAAAAAACGGAAAATGCCAAATATATGGTCACTTAAACCCAGGCGATGTTTAAAAATAAAACAGTATCTTAGATAAAAAAAAAAAAAAAAATGGAAGTAGATGTCAAAGAATAGAGATCCAAATCCCCCACCAGAATTTGATTGAATTTACAATCACAATACATGGAGATATAAGGGTTAGCTTAGAGCCTGACCACACCTAAATAATAATAAAAATTAAACTCGACCTTGTGCCGCTTTGAAATGCTTATTTTCAACAAAATATTAAGATTGTCTACACTAATATTAAGTAGATCATATTTCTTAGAAAGTTATTCTTAAAATCGCTTGAAGATGGAACGAAGCTCTGTGCTGTAAATTTAATGTTTATGTCGAACAATCGTGGTCAAGATAAACACTCAGTTGTAGAGCAAGCTGAGTGAAAAACTAATTCAACATTGAGACAGAGAGCTATTTATGGTGCAATGGAGCATCTCATTATGCTAAAGTGGGATAGTCCATTGCTTGGGCTGTGATTGGCTGCTGGTACCTGAGTGGAAGTATTACTATATAAATACTAGCATGATTTCTCAGTTTGCAGGATTTGTATTAAGTTACAACCTGCTTTATTTTTGTCTGCCAGCTGGACTCTAGTTGGAACTCTTACGCCGGTAAGTGCTTTTTATTATTGTTATTCTACAGTTTAAAATTAATCTAGGTTTTGATTTTTCCGTTTTGAAACATAGCATGTTCTGTGTTGCAATGGAATCATATTTGAAAAAATAATTATATATATATATATATATATATATATATATATATATGAAGTATTACTCGAAATGAATAACCATTTGATATTTTTTAAAATTCTCTTTATCTTTGATATTGCCATCTCTTTAATTCGGCTAAATCCACCAGTGTTCATTTTTGTTGGAAGTATCAGGTAGACATTTACGATTGAATGCTTGAGGTGTTTCCATTTTAAAACTATCATTTTCACACTATCACTAAATAACGGTTTTCCTACTTTTGACCTGAGAATCCCTAGGCGCCCTGAAGAGAGTTGGTAGGCGATATGTGGTTGATTTATCCTAATGTTTCTTCTTTTCATCCTAAAATACAAAGATTTGAACAACGGGAATAAAGAGGCTACTCGACCTTGTACCGCTTTGGAATGTTTATTTTCAAGATGATTATACAAAGAGCTGTTGAAGTGCTTAGTAATCATGTCATAGTTGGGAAGGATATTAAAATAATCCAGAACCTATACTTGCGACAATCCGCTTGCATACGGATAGAAAAGGAATTCAGAAAAAGAAATACTTTTGTGACTCAAACGAATACTAGTTGTCACTTTCGGAATGCTCGTTGTAGTAGAGACTTTGTAATCTTGGATACAACTATAGTAACGCCGTTGAACAATACTGGTGTCAGACGCCTTCGAATATCACTCGCACTAATAGTAATCCGTCCAGTGATCCGAATAGAGTGTAGAGTATAGAGAATAGCGATGCGTATAGTAATAGAGGATAGACTAGAAATGAAGATCCGAATAGGCGTCACGCCACCTTCCACATATGCGCTTCCTCTATGGTCACATGGTCTACTTAATGCAATAATGGGATCGCCTGTGTTTGCTCACTGGCGATCTATGTTCGAACTCATTTGTCGGCAGCGACACTTTATTACTATATAGCAAACACATAGAAATGGTTGTCAGGTAAGGATGTGACTTCTTAACGAATTTATTCAACATTAGAAATTCTGTCTGGATTTATTATTGGCTGCCAAGATCCTAACAATATAAGATATGCAGATGACACAGTGTTGACACGAAAAAAAGAAAGAAACAAAGTACAAAACTTCTACAGAAGGTAGAGAAGAAAAACGAGGGGAAAGGATTAAATATTAATTAAGACCGAATGCGTGGTTTTTATCGAAATGGTGATCCCAAAATGCAAATTTCAAAATTTAAATCCCTAGGAAGTATTTTAACAGAGGACGGAAAATGCGACACTGAAATCTGAAGGTGCATTGGGATGACCAAAGATGCATTCCAAAAGCTTATGTGAAAGTTGCAAGAGAATAAAATTTGCCGCCAAAGAATTATTTTTCATGCATTATGCCACAAGTTTTCAATTGGAAGAAGCTGCACCCTGAATACGAATCTGGTATCCTCCATCGGTGCTGTAACGATACACATACATTAAAGTCTCGAGCTTTTGACTTGTCTTTAAGATTCAAAATGCGAAAATTGAGTTTGAAGGAGATAAAACTTAATGAAATATAAAAAAAAGAATAAGTGTTATGGTCCAATATCCGCGCACCACAGTTATGGTCTAAGGTTAGAACCAAGGAAGAACAACATGAACACAAGAGTAGAATAACAAAGATATATTACAACAGAAATATAGTACAAGAAGTTGAAGGTGTTAGTAATGACTGTCCGTCTGGTTTAGAGTGAACTAATATTGTCTCGACTCGTTATACCATTCATAATATTTATTTCTGTAAAATTACAGAAGATGTGGCACAAGGCCTAAAAAAGGGGATGAGGGAAAGGACGGTCTTCATCTGTCTTAATTTAAACTTAGCTAAGCCACAAGCACTGACCCAAGCATACAAACAATATTCCTAACACCAAAACACTACATTCCTACTAGCCTTTCTTACTACATCCACCATAATACCTCATTGTCTCAATGAAAAAAACCTAAATACTCTCCCTATGTACAAATCGTCGTATGTGGAGGGGGGGATAAAACAACAAATTAAAAGGATCCCCAATGAGTATATACAATACGAATTAATCTATTTACAAGAAACTAAGCAAAATTATTGTTAGTAGTAAACTCCCCCACAATACTTAAATGTGTCAGAAACATCAGTTCACTGGAGGAAATCAATGCAGGCCTACAAAATATAAAAAAAACATTCATTCATCCCTAACACTCACAAAGACACGCACTCATCCGAACATGAGAACAGAAAACGAAAAACACACACAGTCGAAAAAAACGAAAAGGCGCCCCGCATCCACCAGAGAACTAACATCACTGACCACCTAAAGAGGGAGGGGATGGGGAATTAAACTAAAGAAAAAAAAATACGGACAGAAATAAAAGGGGCCAATGAGCAAACACACCCTAGCTATGTTTACTGGAAAAAAAAAAAAAAAAAACTAAAGATTCAAATAACAAAACCTACACTAACCTAATTTCGGGATGGGTTGCCCAAGCTCAACCCAGGAAAAACAATATCCGGATGCCCAACCGGCATCAAAATGCCACTCTAGGTCAGCCCCTTTTACTCGACACAATCGCGCAAGAGTCACCCACCTTTTGCCAAATTCTGATAAGGTGAGCCGACGCTTTTCAATCCTAATCTTGACTTTAAGCTGATGCTTAAAGAACAAGATCAGTTGGGAAGAAGTGAACTTCTCGCTCTCATAGAATTCCTTCTTACGTGTCGTCCAAATCACGACTCTCATAACCCCTAGTAAGCAAAAGAACACATATTGTTCAGCCTTCGTCATCAGCGGCAACAAACAGAACTGGCTTCAAGGACAAAGAACTTTCCTTGCAGCATGCGGAACATGAGACCTTCAACAAACCTGCACAACGGCGCTACCACCCTGCAATGAAAGAAGGCGTGACCAATGGTCTCAATTTCCCCACTACAGCGACGGCAGTTGGAGATTTCTCCAAGCCCGCTGAACAAAGTCTTTTGGCGACCCAGAGGGCCCCACGAATCATCAGGCAGGTGAGTGATTCCTCATCGTTATTGAGTAATTTCAACCCAGGCGCCCAAGGCCATATTGAGCGAGCCTCCTGCTTCGTAAGACCGAGCTCGTCAATCAGTTCATCGCGCACGGCCAGCCCTGATTAACACTTGATATAATGCCCTACGAGACAACGCCTGGACGTTGGAGAGGCCATCCGACGCCCATAAGAGACGTTTCAGAGCAATACGACATTCACGATAGAAGGAGCATTCGGCTCGGTGCAAACAATGGGCCTCACTTCTCATGTATGGGAAAGTTTTAAGGGCGTCTTCCTTTCAGAAGGCGCCCTCCTCATCCGATTCGCGACACATTCGATCTAGGAACCCGATGCGAAGCATATATTGACGAATCTCAATGCTAGGCATACCCAGACCGCCTTCAGATGGATGAAAGCAACAAATCTCCCGACATACCATAGCAGCTTTGCCTCTCCACAAAAAAGAGAACAAAAGCTTTACTAATGACATTGGTGTGGTATACGGAAGTGGAAGTACAGAGTCGGTAAAGGAGAATCGGATAGATGTGTGAAACATACTTCCTCCCTCCCCTTCAAGAAAAGATTCCTCCGAGACCACAAATTAATTGCGATTTCGGCCTTCCCTCGTACCTTCGACCAATTCATTTCCAACTGACTGGCCCATTCGTCCAGTGGAAAGGTGCGGGAAGAGAAACCCCCTTCCATGCACCCAACCACAAGCCAACAGACTTATCGCAGTTGATCTTGGCCCCTGTCACCATCTCATAACCACTGATTTCTTTGCAGACTTCGTCAATCTCGGCTCTGCTCAACACAAGAACCGAAACGTCATCAGCATAGGCAGAATACCTAGCCAAGGTGGTAGCCCCAGGCAGGGAAATTCTGCTCGGGGCCGGATTCGCCATTAACTTGCGAAGGAAAGGTTCCAACGCAAGAACGTAAAGCAAAGGCGAAAGCGGACAACCTTGACGAATGGAGCGAGACAATACGAAAGGCTCCGATCGTACCCCATTCACCTCCACCAGCGCACCGGGAGTCGCATACAGAAGTCGAATCCAAGTGCAAAAGTACGGACCGAAACTGGCCGCCGAAAGGACAGCCTCTAGGAATCGATTGTCAAACCTATCGAAGGCCTTGGACTGATCTAAATTGATCAGCGCGGCCCCACTGTCGACTTTCTCAATGATCAAGCGTACCATATGAAGGTTATCCTGAATAGTCCTACCCTTTACAGCACAAGTCTGTTCGGAGCCAATCAGACTAGACAGGACAGCCTGCAAACGGTTGGCTAAGATCTTTGCCAAAATCTTTAACGCTGTATTTAACATAGTTAAAGGGCGAAAATTATCTATCCCATCCCCACCGTTCTTGTCCCTGCGTAGCAACGTGATCACACCCCTGGTGAAGCGCCGAGGTATAGACCCCTGCTCCATCCAGTTGTTGAAAATCAGTTCCAGTAAAGGAAGAAAAACGGGCGACTGCCTCAAGTAAACTTCGTAGGGAAGACCATCTAATCCCGGAGATTTATCCAGGCCAACCTGTTTCAACGCTTCCCAGATTTCCAACTCTGTGATGGGACGCTCGCACCTAGCCGATTCAGCTGCCTCAAGACAGGGGAAGTCGGCTAAATAGGCGTCGAACTGAGCAGGGCTCAGACCGGGCTCCCTGGGGAAAAAGTTCCTGAAAGTAGTCACGAAAAGCCTCTCATATGCCCGCGTTTGAAGTCACGGTCCGCTTATCCGGCAATGTTACACCATTCATTCGGTATCTAGCCCCCCCACGAGGGTTGCATGTGGCACAAGGCCAAGTTTAACGTGGGTTTCCCGAGCCTGTAGGCCCTGCCAAAAATATACCCTTTGAACCCGCCTAGACGGGTTCAGGGCTTGTCTACCTCCCCGGACGAAACCCTGCCATTCAGTAAAGCTTCGTCCGGGTCCCTCTCTGCCAAAGCAGAGAGTTCAACAGTCATAAACTGGTGCTGGTTACACCATCCATTCGGTATTTAGCCCCACCCCACGAGGGTTGCATGTGGCACAAGGACGAGTTTAACGTGGGTTTCCCGAGCCTGTGGAATTGGCCAAAAATATACCCTTAAACCCGCCTAGACGGGTTCAGGGTCTGTCTACCTTCCCGGACGAAACCCTGCCTTTCGGCAAAGCTTAGTCCGGGTTCCTCTCTGCCAAAGCAGAGAGTTCAACAGTTATGAACCGGTGCTGGTTACACCATTCATTCATTATACCTCTTGAGAGGCGCAGTATTTATAGTGTTGGGAAGAGTCCATTATCGTTATAGGTAAGTTCTCATAACAATAAGTCAACGTGAAATCACCAATAAGCTTGGAATATCAAGGTATGTTGTCCACTTTGAAGAAGCATATTGATGTTGGGAGCCTTTTTTGATAATCAAAAATCTGGTAGCCATTGGAAATTAGACAAAATCAGTAACACACATTCAATTAATTTTTATTATAGTTCTATTCTAAATCATAAAATTACAATTACAACGTGTTTTACACATTGCCCAACTTGATACAAATATCGACATCGTAATGAATACTCAAAAGGTTTGTACATTATGTGGGTATATTTGAGAAAGCTATGAGACATGGGAGAATTTTGAAATGACCATTAATTGTGGAAGAAATTGGCATAGCCTAGTTGCACTTGGAAGTCGAGAAAGGTGATTGACTGCCTAATATCGATCTGCGTAAATTGCTCACGTCATCTTATTATTTGATTAATTAGGCGAGCAATTACTAATGATGTACATATATATTAAATCATTGTCTCAATGGTAAGTGATTCGCTTGCATAGTTGTCCTTCCGGAAATTTAGAACTCCTTCTCAGATGTCTATTGAACTTAGAAGAAGACAACGACGTTATCGTCTGCGAACTTGTATTTTTAGGAGTTTGATTTTCTTTACTGAAAACAATTAAATAAAATAAAAAAATGGATGAATTGAATCATGCGGGAAGTGTTTTAATAAGCGACGGAAAATATGAAATTTAAAACAGCGAAAGATGTCTTTAAAAAGATAAACAAAGTAGTATAATTTTGTTAAAAACGAAAAAAAGAAAAAGAAAAAGAGTACTGAACTGTGATATAATATTAATCCTCCTATGTAGCAGTGAATGGGGTGGCAATTTTCTCAGAGATAATATAGAAGTATTGTGGCAACAGAGATGTTTCTACAAAATAATACTGGGAATACTATCGCCGGAGCATGTGAGCAATGAGAAATTTTTTAAGGAAGTTGAGGACGAAAAGGACATTTAGAAAGAGACAGTTGAAATTTCTAGGACATATAATTAAGAAAGAAGGTTTGGCGAATTTGACACTCACAGAACATACTGAAGGCAAGAGGGGGCAGAAGGAAACAGCGAGTAATCTATCTAACGAGTTTAGGTAAATGAATGGTAGAAAAAAGGATTTGGAGGGAGAATATAAGACAAACATTACTTAGAGTTAAAAAGGATAAGAAGTTGGGGAGAGCCATGACTGAAGAAGGAGAATAAAAAGAATAAAAAATAAACATGGAGCCATTGCCTAAAAAGTTGTTCAAATAAGCAAAAGAAAAGAACTAGGGTGGAACGTTTAAGTCCAGATCCCAAAAGAAAAAATATTAGCTGAAAAGATGGTTGAATGGAGATGAACTCGTCTACAAAGAAGGACGAATTAGATTGGGTTTAACCATCTGCAAATCTTTCTGGTTCTAATAATTTCGCGATTAAAACAACTTTCAGGTTTCCTTGAGATAAAAGGAACGAGAGTTCATATTTTACCGATTTGTTTTCTGATTGGCAACAGATAGTTATTGCTATTGATTGACGGTCTTAGCTACTAAAAAAAAAAAAAAACAAAAGAATAATAATTCCTTAAAGAAAAAACACCAGAAAATAAAATATTATAATTGAAAAATTAAAAGAAAAATAATACAAAAGAGTTTTTATTCTGCCCAAAATTGTATTGTTTTATATCATTGAAAATTCACTATAATTATCGATGTATAATTTAAAAAGTTTTTTTTTTTTAAATTAAAGAATCAAAATTAATAAATTATCTGCAATATACACCTGGTTTTCCAATTTTTATATTAATAGGAAAATATAAGATTTATATATAATAACTGCTTGAAAAATTAAAATAAAAAATTCATAAAAATATCTTTATTCTTATCAATAAAATACAAGACTTTATAAAAAAAAAAAAATAAAAAATAGAAATATTTTATTTGAAAGAGCATATTAAAATAAAACATTTAAAAGTTCTTCCGGTTTTATATTCTGATAAAGGTGAATTGACAGCAACTTTGAATGAAATTTGCATAAAAAGAACAACCGTTTTTATTCTCAATCTGCTTTTTGACAAGTTCAAAACATGGACCAAAACGAGGTCGAAATCAAACAATTTTAAAAAACAATATAAATTCTGTAAAATTCGTTTGATAAACTCTTCGTGTGCATGAAAATAACTATTGGAGAAATCCACGCGCATATATCTGGCGTCCATTCTTTCTTATAAATTTCGACGCGTGAAATCTATCAAGAATGTGAGAAAACAGCGTGAAGATATCAGTTAGACATAATGCAACGGAGCAACGAGAGGACAGCCATCTAGTTAGGAGTAATTTTGTTAAACGATGTATCGTCAACATTACGAGTAAAGTCCACTTCGTTAGGGTGCCTACTCACAAAAAGCTGCGATGGGTCTATCTATCTATCTTCACTGCTCAACATCATCGACAACAACTTTATTCAGTAGAGTTTCAACAAAAACAACATAACTTTATTCTATATCCGAGAATATATTAGTTACTGACCAAACAATGCATAGAAAATTTGTGCAAACTTTATATGGAATAAAATATCTTTTCAACTACAGAAACTTTCGATCTTTGAGAGATATTCTCTTTTAGGTTTTTTTTCCTTAACGCGTAATTTATGGTAACTTTCTAAGTGTAGATTAGATGTGGCGCAAGGCCGAAAGTATGGGTCACTCAGTGAGGATCAAACTTACTATTTAGTCGTAATAGTTCTAGCAAGACAAACTTACTAACCATTAAGCCACCTCAAGATAACAAAATGATTCTTTAAGCGAATGTACGGGGCACCTAGTGAGGATGGAACTCATTATTCAGTCGTAATTGATCTAGCAAGACAAGCTTGTTGACCATTACATCACGTCGAAGTGCCCAATGATGATTTTCTAAATATAGCTCAGTCATGGCACAAGGCTGAATATATGGGGCACTGAGTGAGGATGTAACTCACTATCCAGTTGTAATTGATCGAATAAGGCAAGCTTGCTTACCATTAAACGCGTAATTTATGAATGGAAAATATTTCAAATTTATGAATTGATTACGTGGTATTTCATTAAATCATTTATTCATCTTTTTTTTATATATATTATCATTATATTTTAGAAAACTCTTTATATTTTATCAACTTATTTATTTTATTTTATAGAAATATTTATATTTTTCAGGAATTCGTATTATTTTGTATAAATTTAAAAAAATGTTTTCTAAAAAAACAATTTTAAATAACCAAAACATTAAGATGAAATTAAAATACCAGTCAGAATTAATAATAATGGTTGATAATGTTTCCGCTATTGTTTTCCTTCTAATTTCTTGTTTCCCTGCCACCGACAATATTCAAAAATTTAAATGAAACGTCAATGGCTGTCTTCTGTCTTTCAAATATCCTGTTCTTTTATTGTCTTTTTCTACACGTCTTTTTACTAAAAACTTCTTATACACTTCCACTCTTTGTAAACCACTGTGTCTTAGTGGCATTATCGCCTTGCTTGGAATAAAAGAAACTACCAGATTGACAAATAGCTGTCATCATTACACATTTTAAATAGCTAGATGCAACCGTAAGTCCTATTCTGATAATTTCTTCTCTCGTACTTCTCGCCTGTAAAGCTCTCTTCAAGTTTCTTGCTTCCCTGTCACCTACAATCTTCAAGATTTTAAATGCAGCGTCAATCGCCAGCTTCCGTCTTCTTGAACTCTTTTATTGTCTTTTCTCTTCACTAAAGTCTTCTAATTCTTCTTTGTGTCTTAGTGGCATTATCGCCTTGATTTGGGTGAAAGATTAAAAAGATAAAATAAAATGATAAATATAACTGCAAATCATTTTTAAAATACCCCAAATAAGTAACAATGGATGATTAAACAAAACTGTCAGCCCCCCGCCTTCCATCTTTGATAAAATATGTCTAATCGTTAGTTACTCCTTTGAAAGGCGGAGCTTAAATACGGATCTTCTACTTGACTAGAAAATTGTTAATACAAGAATATGCGTTGAGCTTGTATTTTCAAGTGGCGTTCCCAGAGTGTGACGGAAAAACAAGAAATTCTGGTCGTATCAGCGGTAAATGAAATTAGAATATAAAGACCCAGAAGCATTCATACATCTTTTTCCTCGTCACCATTCTATATTTCTCTTTATCTCTAGTTCAATTCTCTATATCATCATCTCTGTCTTTCTATCTTCTTTCTTTTGCCTTTTTACTTCATTACAACCTTCTACATTATCTATCTATCTATCTATCTATCTATCTATCTATCTATCTATCTATCTATCTATCTCATTCTGTTCATATCTATCTATGTATATCATATTGCTCTGTAGTCTATATATTGGGCTCTCTACGGATCTATCTATCTATCTATCTATCTATCTATCTCATTCTGTTCATATCTATCTATGTATATCATATTGCTCTGTAGTCTCTATATTGGGCTCTCTACGGATCTATCTATCTATCTATCTATCTATCTATCTATCTATCTATCTATCTATCTATCTATCTATCTATCTATTCTGTTCATATATACAGTGGCTTAAGAAAAGTTTTTAGCCAGGAGAAATAAACTACATTCAATTTAATTTCAAAATCGAATTACGTAATCCCAACTCAACATAAATAAACAGTATTTGGAACTCGTATGGAGTAGGTCCTCCATTTGGTAGTTTCAGTGCTTGTGTTCGATTTTTCATGAATTTGATCAAGTTATCAACAATCGTCTGATCCATATTTTGCCACTCCTTTAGAAAAAGTTTCTTTTCAGAGTTGCCACTGACATAATTTTGGTTGCACGCTCTCGAAGTTTTCGGTCAAGGTGTTTCCAAACGTGTTGTATTGGATTCATGTCAGCATTTGGGCTACCCATGGCAGTGACTTGATTACGTGCGATTCCTCCCAGGCCTTTGCTACTTTGCTCGTATGACATAACGCTCCATCATCTTGGAAAAGGTAGAATTCTTGTTAATCGGATTAGTTTCAAAAAGTGGGAGTAGTCCTTTCTCTAATATTAGACAATATTTTGGACCATTCAACCGCTCGTCAACAAGAATCAGCTCAGGCTTCCCTCCCAACCAGACAGCTCCCCACACCGTTACTCCAATCTCTCCATGTTTCACGGTAGCCTGCAGACATTGTGTTCCAAGACTCATTCTGCTTTCTCTAAACGTAAACCTGTCTCGAATTCGAATATTGGCAGTATTTACTTTCATCTAACCAAATTACAGACTGCTAAAATTCATAATCTTTGTTCTCGAATTCTCTCGCCCAGTCCATACGAAGGTTCCTATTAACCTCTGAAATTAAGGGCTTCTTTCTTGTAACTCTTCTTTGATAGCCTAGATCTTTCAGAGTCTTTCTCACCACATTTGGCGACATTTTCATGCTGTTGGCTGACGACGATTTCCGATGACTTCCCTCTTCAGCGCCCTTTTCCTTCACTCAGACACGATGTTTAGTCTTCCTGAACGTTATTCTACACGACAATGGCCTTCTTCATTAAATTTCTTGACAATATTATTAACCGTTTGATGATTAACCTGGAAAAACCTCGCAATTTCTCGATTTGACTTGTCACACTGATGCGATCCTATTATTTGCCCTCATTAGAATTTACCAATTTCCTTACTTCCGCGAACTTTCATTGCAAAATATAAGTCAACTATCGTTTATAGATGAGAGTAGCTTGATACTAACACGGTTTTGTCTGAAAAAAAATGGAGACGTTATTATACAAGCCAAAATTGTTGTAATCAATGATGCCTAAAAACTTTTCATAACCCACTGTATATCTTTATTTCTTAAGACTATGAACTTTATATATAGTGTGTACACGTGTTGAGTAGACATTCCTATTTTTTAAGTGGAAGTAACGTCTATAGAATTGAATTGAACCGAATAAAGGTTTGATTCTTGTTGGGAAGTGCATTTTCTTTACGATTTTCTATCTCGAGATTAGTAGACATTAATAAACAGGCTGTTGAAAAAAGATGTCCATTGAAACACGTGTACGCATTAAATATAAGTTTTGAATTAATAAAACATAGTGATTTATCGAGTCGAGAAGGAACCTCAAGAGAATGCAGAGAGCACCGGACGATCGTTTCGTCCTATTTGAGACTCTTCAGCAGTGCCCACCCACTATCGAAAATCGAACCCAGACCGTTTCGATACACTGCAAACGCCACACCACCTGAACAAACCGGCCTCAATGACGAAGAAGAAACTGAATACATTCGATATAGCCTTGCTACTTACAAATTCCGTGGTGATATTCATTCAAGTATTCATATATATATATATATATATATATATACACTTCAAGAAAAAGCTTAACACATCACGAAAATATGATAATAAATCTATTACCGTATTTTCGTGATGTGTAAGCTTTTCCTTAATGTATATCATATTGTTCTGTAGTCTATACATTGGGCTCTCTACGGATCTATCTTTTTAATATTTTATGTTAAGAAGAAACACTTGGATTATCCTTTACACTTACGGGTCTGATATTCTCTCTCTCTCCCTCTCTCTCTCTCTCCCTCTCTCTCCCTCTCTCTCTCTCCCTCTCTCTCTCTCTATATATATATATATATATATACACTTCAAGAAAAAGCTTAACACATCACGAAAATACGGTAATAAATCTATTACCGTATTTTCGTGATGTGTAAGCTTTTCCTTGATGTATATCATATTGTTCTGTAGTCTATACATCGGGCTCTCTACGGATCTATCTTTTAATATTTTATGTTAAGAAGAAACACTTGGATTATCCTTTACACTTACGGATCTGATATTCTCTCTCTCTCCCTCTCTCTCTCTCCCTCTCTCTCTCTCTCTATATATATATATATACACCCACTTCAAGAAAAAGCTTAACACATCACGAAAATACGGTAATAAATCTATTACCGTATTTTCGTGATGTGTAAGCTTTTCCTTGATGTATATCATATTGTTCTGTAGTCTATACATTGGGCTCTCTACGGATCTATCTTTTTAATATTTTATGTTAAGAAGAAACACTTGGATTATCCTTTACACTTACGGATCTGATATTCTCTCTCTCTCTCTATATATATATATATATATATATATATATATATATATATATATATATATATATATATATATATATATATATATATATATATATATATATATAGAGAGAGAGAGAGAGAGAAAAATAACAAAGAATTAATAACGTTAGAAGGGGATGGAGCAAGACTGTTTCTCTAGAAGTGGTCGCCTGTGTCGACATTGGCGTAAATCACAGCATGATTGAATTCCCTACACGTGAAAATGACCTCCCGTGAGACGAGCATGTTAACCATCACATTACGTCAAACGAACTACACTATAGATATTTATTAGTTGAAGTTAAAAGAAAATGAATTCATGATAAATAACAGAAAAAATAAACAGAGAACCATTTTCTTTCAAGAAAGAAGTTATAAAGAACGCCTTAACGAATGTAGATAGAGTGGGAAGAGCTGAAAGAGACGTGACGGCTTCTCAACTTCCGAACAGCGTAATGAGAAATCCAAGACAGGATTACGTTGAGTAATGGGAAACAGACATGCGCAAAGGGAAACTGTCCAAAAGGACGATAGATAAAAACAAATGACATTGGGGAATGAGGTCAAATGAAGGACTGTGAAGGAAGGAAAAAATAATTAAAAAGAAGCAACTGTAAACTAATCAGAAAAACAGAAGAGACGATTGGACTCGTCCCTTGACAAACAAAATTAACAATCATCATCATCATTATCTTCTTCATCTTCTCCTACTTCTTCTTCTTCTAGACATGGTAGAGTAATGGTTAGAGGAATCGGATTGAGGAATCGGAGAGTTGAGTTTGAATTCCGATCGAGTTTATTACATTCACTTAAGCACTAATACCCTTGGGAAAGGTGTGAATCTCTTCTCTCTCTAGCTATGCGTAAAATATCATGACACAATGGGTACTTATTAAGTCTGTAATATAGACTATAGCCTTGGGTGGCAACCAGTCTAGGAGAAGGAAATTGAATTAAAACCAAATTGCACACTGATGCGATCCTATTATTTGCCCTCATTGAAATTTACCAATTTCCTTACTTCCGCGAACTTTCATTGCAAAATATAAGTCAACTATCGTTTATAGATGAGAGTATGTAGCGATTTTCCAAGCGTAGCTTAGATGTGGCACAAGGCCGAAAGTAGGGGGCACCCAGTGAGGATCGAACTCACTACTCATTCGTAATTGTGCTAGCGAGACACGCTTGCTAACCATTACACCGCCTCTAGGTGCCCAAAGATTTTCTAAGCGTAGCTTAGATGTGGCACAAGGCCGAAAGTATGGGGCTCCCAGTGAGAATCGAACTCACTTTTCAGTCGTAACTGATCTAGCGAGTATTTATAGGGTATTAGCAGGTAAGTGAATGGAATGAATTTGACTGGAATTCGAACTCGGCTCTCCGATTCCTCAATCCGAGCCGCTATCCATTATTCCACCGACCTATCTTAAGATGAGAGTATGTATCCATGCGGCTGGGGGCCACTTGTGAATCCAAATTTCTACTGAAACTCTTACTATTTGTAGATCCGAATGACCGAATGAATAAATACAATCTCTGCTACGCTTGGCCAGATTTCGTTCGTATGTGGCATCAAAAGGAGTCCAGTGATCCAAATACAGAACCTACATGAGGGGTGGCAGGTTCGAACACCGTCGGAGAGCACATCCTTTTTATAAAGAGTCTCTAGATTGCGCAGGTCGGTAGAAGCAATTCACGTAGTTAAAAATAGGAAACAGGACGTCTATTTAAACATAGGTATCAACTAAAATAACGTTTAGAGTAATAAGATCTTATAATAATCTTATTGTAGCAAATGAAGTGTCAGAATCACGTTGATGGAAGTGTATATTGTATCATTTATTACTGAAACTGTGTCTATTTTAGCGTCGCATTTCCGTTTCATTTCGACTGAAAATAATATTAGCAAAGAGAAAACGCTTTTGTATTCTTAACTTTACGTATGCATTAATATTAATAAAATGTCCCCTTTTCTGACATCTTTATCGACTCGAATAATTTTAATTTTATTATCTTTCGATAAAAAGAGCCCACCAGTTTATATTTTTTTTTTTTCTTTTTTTTAAGCAACTGACCCCAAGCAAAGCGATAATATCACTAAAATGCAGGGATGGGGGTTGCTACTGGGAGTGAAAGAGAAAGAAAAAAACTTGTAGGAAACGGGATTCCAATCCTAAGCAGGAAGCAAGGGATAGATTACTAGAAACCGGGGAGGAGTGTGAACCGGGCAGTAAGCGAACCTATCTCTTGAGGAGAGAAAACATTAATAGTAAATAAAATTTCAGAGTTTAGGTGGAGACGTTAGAAGTATAGGGTTGAAATAGACTTTAGAAGAAAACAAAAACCCAATCTTAAACAAGAAACAAGAGATAAAACCCCTTCATTTACAGACTAAAGGCGAATGTGAATGGCCTCACTGATATAAAATGGCCATCATATAACTTTAATTAAAAAGCCAAATTAATTAATAATCATTTATTATAAAATGTTTAAACTAACTCCCATCTTTTGTTTTTTTTTTAATACCGTGTCTTTGTAGGATTTAGGTGATCATCAGTCGTCACACGTCTTCCTGAGAAAGATGGTGGGGGTGTTTGAAATTCAGAATTTTTCTTTACTCGGATCGGTTGCCACCCAATTTAGGGACCTCAGTTTACCATGTTATTTTACTCATAGATGAATGGGCGGATAAGAAGAGTCGGTTTCCTACCTTTATCAAGGTTATTAGTGCGAAAGTGAATGCAGTAGACTAGCTCGGAATTTGAACCCGGTTCGGCAGTTTCACTTTTCGCTCCAATATCCGTTAAACTCCCCAAAAACTAACTTTCATCTTAAAACCTAATCTTCTGTATATGACCAATGGTGTTTACAGATTCACTTACTATATGGTAAATTGTACATCGGAATACAAGGGAAAAATATTAAATAGGAAATACAACCACAACATTTTCTCATAGACTCACTTGTTTTAATTCAGATCACATTATGCAGAGAGAGAAAATTAAGATAGGATAGTTTATTTTACAATAATACTCAAAATTTTAGAACCTATCAGCATTACATTACTTACATTATTCGGACTATTGTCCTCATCTTTGTCGCCATATTTATCACAACGTTTCGGCCGTTGTACGCACCGGCCTTCTTCAAGTGGTTGGAATTTCGAACTGAACCCTTTATTTCGCTCACTGGGGTAGACTGTTCTAGTTCTACGTGCCATGTTTGATGGATGTCAGTTATCAGTTATCTCCTGCTAATTTTCCCTCTGAAAGTTCTCCACTGCCTTAACCGGGTATTGAACTCACACTCTGTGGGTCCTGTCACTGGATCTAACCAACGCCTTTATCCACTGTGCCATGTGTCCTACATAATACCTCATCTCAGAAATATAGACAGACTATCAGTATTAATAAAAAATAAGTAAAATAAGGTGATTCTTGAAGAAACATTGTAAAATGTAATTAAAATATCAGACTCTACACTACATCACGTTTACGAGAAAGCGCAAAGTTTGAAATGACATCATAAATATTCAAAACTGGGAATTCAAAATCATCCAAAGTTGCAAACTTTTACTAAACAGACTTTGAATTTAATCCATGTTCTTTTATTCTTGAAAGCTTGGAACCTTATCAAAAACTAACAGGAATTGTAGACAGTTCTTACATCACTTGAATTTCAAGATTCGGAATATCTATCTACACTATTTACATTTTTCGGTATGTTGTCCTCATCTTTGTTGTCATATTCACGACGTTTCGGCCGTTGTATGCTCTGGCCTTCGTCAGGTAATTCGAATTTCGAACAGAACCCTTTATTTTGTCCACCAGGGTAGATTGATCTTGTTCCACATGCCATGCCTTTTCTGGATATCTCAGTTTAGTTATTTCCTTTCAACTCAACTCTCTAAGTTTTTGTTTAACTCTGCTGTGGCCAGGTATTGAACTCGCAACGTTTTGAGTCGAGTCACTTGATCGATTCAACCAACGCTTTTATCAACTGGTCATGTGGCCCAATGAATAAGAGAAGCATCGTGTATATAACAACAAAGATGAGGACAACAGTCCGAACTCTGTAAATAATGTAAATAGAATGCCTCATCTTAGGAATATACACTGATATCTATCTATCTATCTATCTATCTATCTATCTATCTATCTATCTATCTATCTATCTATCTATCTATCTATCTTATTCTGCTCTTATATACCCATCTCATTATATTCATTATCTATCTATCTATCTATCTATCTATCTATCTATCTATCTATCTATCTATCTATTGCTATAAAGTTACATTGAGTGGGTACACGTGTTTGAGTAGACATCCCCGACAGTGAAATTAATATCTATAAATATATAAACTAATTAATATCTATAAATATATAAACTTCGAAATGCCCCAGCAAGAGGTGTGCCTTTCTTAAATAAGGTAATTAGGCCCTTGCTTTGCAGTGATAGCGTCTCATTTGTTATGATAAAAGGACATTGGGCTTAAAAGTGCTTTCTAAGTTTTTTTTTTAAAAAAGAGAAAGTAGGTTCGATTTCTGTTGGGGGCATACTTTCTTTAGAAAAACTTTCGATCTCGATACAAGTAGAAATTAATTTCACAGTTAACTGCCCTCACCCCGGAAAAAATAGGGATCTTTACGTGTAGTCACCAAATAGTACCTTTATTATAATAAGAAATAATTTCAGTTTGACCTTGCATGTGAACTCAGATATAGCATTATGGCATACTTTCTTTGTTTATAGCAGTTGAAAGAACGTGTGTAGAGTGTGGTCGTCTCACTGCCCCACAGAGGTTCCATCAGAGACCATGCCTTGTAGAGCATTCTTGGTCAACATTCCTCATGTCCGACAACCAGCAAGTTCCCAGATCTAACTTCTTGAAACATTTTGTCTTCAAAAATCTAAATCCTACTTGAAAGGAACAAGATCCCGAAACATCGACGTAATTCAAGAAAATGAATCTGAATAATGCGTGTGGCTTCAGAAGTGAACTACTTTGAAGGAGATTAAATGCCGGATTGATATGTATTGTAGTTTTCTTTTCATACCACCAGTCCCGATACTTTTTGAGCAGGTCTCGTATATATATATATATATATATATATATATATATATATATATATATATATATATATATATATATATGTATAGCTAATATTAGTGGTAAATATATGCATACATATGTAAAATATATAAATATATATACATAGGTGCATACACATACATGTATATTTTTGGAATAAAAAATTCCAAGAGGATAGAATCCAGGTAGAACTCAATGTCCAGGACAGAGTAAGGATATAATAAAAAGGCTTAAACACTAATACTCCATGGTCATAATTTATTCCATTGGAATCGTAAATACGATCCAATTCATCAGACCTACAAATTCAAAAAGAAAACAGAAAAAACAACTCCGGAAATAAAAATAGAATTTAGAGAGAGTGTAAGTATGGGAGTGTGGGACGAATGTTAGAGCTAAAAAGAGGGGTAACAGACGAGAGAAGGTGGGAGATTAAAACTTAACAGAGAGAAGTTTTAGAGAGGTGAGTTGAAGACAGTTTAAGTGAGAGAAATATGAATGTTGTCGGATGTCTTATACATTAAAGATGTAACCGGAAAGGATACATTTCGTGGTGACATACACACACAATAGACGATCTAATCTTAAAGATCAGAAGAAGAGGGAGGGAGAGGAAAAGAAAAGAAAAAGGGGTGGGGGAGAGAGATGTGAGTACACGCCTATATGCATGTATGTACGTGTATATGTTATTGTGTGTGTGTGTATACGCATGTGTTTTTGAACATAAAAATATAGGTCCTTGCTAGATTAGATAATCGTTATATTTAGTTTTTATATGTTTATATTTGATTTGTAACCTGTAGTCGATATTAATTTTATCAAATTTTCTTAATTACACAGCGTCCCTTTCAGTAAACGTCCTTCAGTTTTAGTTTTCCCCGCCCCATCTCTCCCCCCCACCCTTTTTTCTTTTAATTTATAATATTAATGCTCTGTAAATTTACATTGAGCACTATTTTTAAAAAATAAAAATATCAATAAGAACACGGGATTATATATCTTACTGTTCTTTCTTTCTTTCTTTCTTTCTTTATATATATATATATATATATATATATATATATATAGACTGAAAAGTAACTACCTATTTTATGTATGATGGATAATTATAGTTAGACTGGAGAGTCCATGATACATAAAATACTTTTCAATCACTATATATATATATATATATATATATATATATATATATATGTATGTGTGTGTGTGTGTGTGTGTATGCGAGGTGGCGTTGAAAATTCTTAGCCCGACCACTGAACAAATTAACCAAACATCAGAATATTCTTGGTCAGGCCGAGAACTTTTCGGTTTGGTTGTTTGTGTCTATGTTTAGGATCATCTGTCATAGATCGAAGTTTATCATCTCATACTTCCACAATATTCACTATTGTAGATAATAAAATTTCTAAAGACACACTTAAAGTTGCGTAGTTTTTCGAAGGATTTTACAATTAGTCTTATAAAATAACAAGGTAGCCGTGTTTTCGCCAATTTATAATTTCAGACACTTTTGAAAGCTGAAGACAATCCTAAGTTGAGCCGCCTTTCCATTAGTGTTTGAAGATCGTCCATTTTCTTTCCATTACATAATTAATTGCCTTTTCCATCGTGGCGGTCAAATGAGAATGCTATAAGGTAGTTTATCAGGTAACGCTGCTATACCTTGATGATGCCTCATGCAGATATATATAGTTGCATAAGAGGAGAAGGAAAAGGTGTAGGATATGGGGGGGGTAGTAAGGAGTAGGATGAGGAAGAGGAGTATGTGTAGAAGTAGTGGGAAGAGGATAAAGAAGAATTAGGAGGAGAGAATGAGTCGTTAAAAGAGCCGAAAGGAGAGGGAACAGATGAAAAGACAGTTAGAGGACGAGAAGGATGAAGGGTAGAAAGAATTGGAGGAAGGGAGCGTTGAGAAGAGTTACAGGAGGAAGAGAAAATTTAGCGGTTAGATGAGAAGGAAGGGGAGTAGTAAGAAGAGGTGGGGTAAAGGAGTAGTAGAAGGAAGAAGAGGCAGGAGAGATGGAAAGAATAATAAATAAGAAAGGAAGAATAAAGAAGGGTAGGAGTAATAATGGGAGGAGATGACGGAAGAGTTGGATGAAATAAATGGTGGGGAAAGAGGAGGGATAAAAATGGAGGAAGAGGAAGAGACAATTATTTTCTAATTTTCTCCCAATGTATGTATATATTATTTTAAAATTTACCTTTGCATAATTTGGTGTATGATATGTTTTTCATTAATAAAAAAAATGTAATATTGTTTCACCCAATGGGTAATAGAAAACGACTATGTTTTTTAAAGTTAAGACGCAATCTTTTATTTATATATGGTTTCGAATTTTTGATTGGGGTTGGTTTGGTTGTTTTTGTTTAGCGGCATGTCAACATCTCCATGGGTTATTTAATACCGAAATCTAAATATGAAAATACAAAATTTGTAATTCTTACAAAATCAAACGAGAAGGGAAAACTTTCTGAGAAAATGTAATAAATATCGGATATAAATTTATTAAAAATAACTGTTGTCAAATTATAGTATGCGCACAAAGGACTTGAAACATTATGAGTTTAGTGGTATTCAAATCAATTATTCAAGGTGTGACAATGTATTTCCCGGAATGATCTTATGAATGACAAATATTTGTACTCGAGTACATCAAGACATGATCAAACTTCCGCTTGTTTGAGACGCTGACGAGATGAGTCATACATTGCCGAGCAGTAGAGGAATTTGTACGTGTTCATATTATACTGTTAGCGGAAAATGAGTAAAGGAAACGTGGAGGAGTGGATTAACATTAAGTTTTGTGTGAAGATTGGTAAAAATATTATTGAAATATTATTAGCCCTATTAAAATTAGATTATGATAAAAATATTTATGTTTACCATAATTAAGGTTATCGAGTGGCACGAGCGTTTCACGGAAGAGTGAAATGTGCATCATGAAGTAAGTAGTAAAGCATCCAAAAACAAAGGTGCAAATGTAAACAAACTGCAAACCTTGGTGCGCTCAGATCGAAGATTTAAGTGTACGGCAAATATCACAACTGAATATGAATCGGAAATAGTGTAGCTGATTCTTTATGTTATGTCCTGTGAGTGTCAAATTCTCCAAGACTACTTTCTCCATTATGCACACCAGACATCTCAAATCTCCTTTTCTCATTCCGTCCTGGGTATGATAAAAAACTACATCCGGCAGCAGGGCTTCTGATCCGGGGTTGGGAATCTGTTTTCATAGTAAAATAAATAAATAAATTCATTTTTGTAAAAATAAATACCAAAGCTCGCAAAGTATGATTTCCGCATTAAATGACCCATAAGGAATTGATATGCCGTTAAACAAATAAACCAAACCAAATCTTTCAGATTCTAACTACAAATATCTTTGTTTTCCTTAAGACTTCCTCGTTGCTCACGTTCAGTCTATGATACATCCAGCATCTTTCTGTGGAAGTATATCGCTGTTGTCTCAGTTTGCCTCGTCATCTGTGAGGAAACTGTCCAGCATTCACTACCATGTAGGTCAAATGCTATTACATAGCAGTTTTTCTTTGTTTCTACCGAAAATTTCCTGTTTCTTGATACTTTGTTTAGCTTTTGAAAGGCATCTTTCGCTATTCCGATACTCCTTTGGATTTATGTTTTAAATTTCAGTTACTATTCAAACACATCTCAGACAGTTACTTTTCTATATTTGCTTAATTCTCACGTTTCAAATTCTTAACTCGGCTTATGACCACATCACGTTGAACCACCGGTTCCGGCACGATCATCGAACTTAAGCAACGTCGTGCCTAGTCAGTAACTGTATGGGGGACCGCTTGGGAAGACTAGGTTCTGTAAGCTTGGATGTGCGGGTGGTGTAATGAATAACGGCTTAGAATTGGAAATCGGAGAGCCGTGTTCAAAATTGAGTCGTTCTATCCACTTTATCGCCCTCTCTTACGTCCATAAAACAACCTAATTCAGTAACCGTATGGGTTTAGGGCCATATCACGTTGAAACACCGGTTCGCATGCAATTACAGAAGTTAAGCAATGTCAGGCCTGGTCAGAAACTAGCTGGGTGACAGCATTGGAATACCAGGTGAGGTGCGGATAGTCGAATTCCAATTCACGTTGGCTTCGATATATTCTCTTATGCGCAAATATCCTTTGGGAAAGGCATAAATCCCCATTTTCTCCTCCCAGCTATGGGTTAATTAGTAAGACTTGTATCACTAAATCATTATTATTTCAAAATAAATTCTTAAAATCTAAAAAATATTTTCTGTGTTTAAATAGCCTACATAGAGTTGATAAGTAAAAATCAATCAATCAATCAATCCAGTTTTCTTACGATTATCTTTATATAAAATATTAACTTTATATAAAATATAAGCTTAAATAAATCCGGGGAGAAGACTCTTCTGTGTCTTATTCCTCTTTTTAATTTTCCGTACTTTCTCAGATCATTCTCTATCTATATGCAAACGGTTTGTTTCCAGTAATGTTTTCGGATATATATCTTTCTCCAAAAAGTAATATTTTCCTCAAGAACAATTTTCTTTGTTTCGTGTAGCTATTTCGGTAATTTTAATCTTTATCTGTTACGAAGCATCTGACAATTGTGCCGCTTGTTCGTCATAAGTTTTGTCTCGAAGGATACTGGTTTATTCCAGGAAACATCTCAGTAGGTTTAGATACAATATTTTCATTCTAATGCAAATGTATGGATGCGGATATGTAGCAAAACTCACTGGTATTTCGTTAAGACTCTCACGGGTTGATATTTACAAAGATATAGAATAAAAAAAAACACCCAAGGGCAAAAGGAGAAGGAAATTAAAACAGAACGATTGCCTTTTTCTCTAATAATCAAAGTATGGGTGGGCATACTTGCTTGCCTCGTATTCCATCTATTGACAGCGAAAGTAAATATACAAGTATCTTAGCCATGAGGCATGTCGAAACTCTCAGGAATAGATCTATCTATCTATCTATCTATCTATCTATCTATCTATCTATCTATCTATCTCGTTCTCATCAGGTTTTATATTTAACATCATTTGCCTGTCTATCTATCTATCTCGTTCGCATCAGGTTTTATATCTATCTATCTATCTAGTTAACAACCTCCATCTTTAACAATTGTTGTACGCTACGCTCCCTGTAGGCAATGGGCTTAATTTAGTTTGATAAAGGCCCATAAGCGAGTCACTATCGAATTCAATACACTGGCAATTAGTTGCAGGAACAGATTTATAGCAGACATTATACCTGTTTACACACACACACACACACACACACACACACACACACACACATATATATATATATATATACTTTAGATATTACATCTAAAATAACGCTACATAAATGCAGTCATATTTCGATGTGTATCAACACATCTCATTAGGCTTTAGTAAATGACCCATTTACTAACACTTGATGCGATGTGTTGATACACATCGAAACATGATTGTCTCTATGTAGCGTTATTTTACATGTTTGAATGTAATATCCTATAATAAAAAATATTGCTCTACTATTGTATTAGATTGAGCCCTCTTTTAAATTAATGTTAGGAACGTTGGAATTTATATTCGATTTGTTCACATTTTATATATATATATATATATATATATGTGTGTGTGTGTGTGTGTGTGTGTGTAATAAAATGAAATGAAATATATATAATAAAATGAAATATTTTGACTTAATTCCCAGCGTCGGAGTTTCGATGAATTGATGTTCTTCTTCAGGGTGTTAGATAATATTTTTGGAAAAACTCTGAAACAGTCAAATTTATTAGTGCTCTATTTGTTACTAGTGATTACTTTACGTATAAGGACTGTTTGCCTTGTAATCATTAACCTCTAGAAGTACACTGGTTGATCGTTTCTTCGGTGAAATACTGTCGTCTCCATTTCAGTCACTTTCCCGCCGCCGTAATGTAGCTGACCTGTGTCTTTTCTATAAATAATTCTTTGGTATTTTTCGTTTGAAGTCTCCGCTATGGTATCAAGACTTTATGAATTTAAGCGCAGTACTAGATTGGCAACAAGGTCTCATCATTTTACAGATGAAATAGCTAGATGGAACCGTTCTATGCTAACAGTTTATTCTCTAGCACTTCTCGCTTATGGAAGTCTCATTCGACTCCATGCTTCCCTGTCAACTTTGATCTTCAAAAATTTAAATGCAATGTCAATTGTTGTCTAATGTCTTCGTAATAACCCCTTGGGTATTAATGGCGGCACTGCCTTGATGGTGGTGGTGGGGGGGAAACGATTAAACTGACGAGTGGGCGGAGTGATTCTCGGAGGGTCAGTCTACATAACTTTCGATTAGGGTCGCCGAAAGTAACATCAATCAGCTAAGTGCCAAAACTTTTACTTTTATTAATTCTCTCTATCTTTCGCTATATTAATATATGTTTACACGAGTAAACAACTAACTAAAAAAAGAGCTCAATACAACCGTAGAGCAGACCTAGTCAAACCTAGTGAGCCAGATAAACCTACCCAGGTTTCACCTAAGCGGATCGTCAGGGAAAGCTGATTAAAGAGGCAAAAGAGAAACGGCATATTTATAGGCGACAATCAAAACTATACCACGTGACCAAAGAAAAAAAAAGGAATAGAAAAAAAAACAAGAATAGAAAAAAACAACACCTGGGAGTGGGGGGGGGGTTAAGATTTATTCAAACGATTAAAAGGGGAGGGGCTATTTTGAGAAAACATGGACAATAAAGGTGGAATAACAATACAATCAGGGGAGATTAGACCTAATTCCATAACCAAGACTCTCTATGCCTACATCTGTTAAGAATCTCGGTTTCAGAGTTTAATAGATCATTAGGTTCCTTATATAAAGCTATGGCTAATTTCTCCTCTGTACATAGCTTACAGAATTTTTGGCCTGCTTTATATTTGGGACATCTTTTTAATATTTCCCATTTAAGGATGGGGTCTTTCTTATTTTCTTGTCTAATTTTCCATACATAGGTCGATAGTGTCGTGCTATGCTTAGTTTTTTCATTTTTAAAACTACTCGTATGATTATAATATCTTTTTAAAAATATATCCTGAGTACCTCCTATATACACTTTAGGGTTTATATCTTCCATATCCATATAAATTTTAGCCTGGTAAACCACGCATTCCTGTTGGCATTTTCTCTGTAGGGGGCAGATATTTTTGTTCCTACAATTACAACTAGAAGGACTACTGCGTGGATTATCCCTAGTTTTTCTCTTATTACATCCACTAATCAAGGTCCCTACATTAGGCATGCAACAGTAACTATTCTTTTGCCAGCTTTCCCTGACGACCCGCTTAGGTGAAACCTGGGTAGGTTTGTCTGGCTCACTAGGTTTGACTATATATATATATATATATATATGTGCTTGTTTGTGTATATTGATAATATTAATATTAGTGTTCAATATATATATATATATATATATATATATAAAGACATTTTTATGTTTAACATTCTTTTTATAGATACAAGTATTTAAGTAAATGCTCTGTTTATAATAAACAGTATTAAATAACATTTACCGGCCTGAATGTCCGAGAAATTTTCATAGAAAATATTCGTCCTTTGACAGGATTCGAACCTGCATCCTATAAGGAACCGTCATTTAACTTGACGTGCCTAACCTCTCGGCCACAAAGGATCGTTTGGTTGGTAAGGTCGAATTTACTGCTTATAAGCTTCAATCTTCCATGAATCTCGTACATTCATAACTGCTCATGGCGTATCAAAGGACGAATATTTTCTATGAAAATTTCTCGGAAATTCAGGCCTGTAAATGTTATTTAATACTGTTTATTATAAACAGAGCATTTACTTAAACACTTGTATCTATAAAAAGAATGTTAAACATAAAAATGTCTTTAATAAATTGTCGGACTTTGTCCATTTCTTAATATATATATATATATATATATATATATATATTCAAACACTAATATTCTATGGTTATAATTTATTACATTGGAACCGTAATCACGATCCAATTCATCAGACCTACAAATTCAAAAGGAAAACAGTAAATATACACTTTTCCGGTGTCTGGTTTTTATTTTTAGATCAACGAATCGGTAGTCGATTTATGCATCTCATAATAACACATATTTATCTGTATCTCACTCATTTAAACCGTTGTTTATCTTCTCTCTTTAAAACTTTAAATTTTATTCCTCACCCTCAACTTAAGGCCTTTCCTGTTCTTATTTCTTCCGTTACACCCCCCTCTAGAGTTTTCATACATTTGTTTCTCACTCCCACACATATCCTTTTTTTTAATACCCGGAGATATATTTTCTGTTGTCTACTGGATTCCAAGCATGAGAATTTAACCGTTTCGTGTTTCATTCATCTGTGAAAGTAGCCAGAGTGATTATAAACACGTATCTTCTTGTCCCACCGAAGTCATACCGGCATTACATGATGTCTTGCATGCACTTCATCCGGTCATTGGCCAACGCCTGGGTCTGGACAAAAGTTTTGTCGGTTTATTCAGTGATGTACGACCATGTCTTTCTTTGGTGTCCTTTTCTCTACCCTCATTTTAGCGTTCCTTTTAGCATGGTCTTGAAGAGGCCTCGCGCTCTGGTTACATGACCAGCTTCCTTTTTTAATGTTGGTCAACACGTCTTTATAGCTATTTATTTATTTAATTTTATTTATATATATATATATATATATATATATATATATAATATATATATTGGCAATATTCAATATATTTAAAGCATGAAGAATACAAGAGACGTAGAATGCCCTCTGCGTGACTGTAGCGGGAAGGGAGAATATATCACCCATCAGACTGATTTTAATGGAAACGACCTGT